AATAACATTTTTTCCTCCAGCTGTGAGTGTGCATGTTGAAGAGGTGTGACTTTCAATACCACCCCTCCATTGAAGCCATGTAAATCTCAAAACTGCATACAGCTGATTTTTCGACTATACCCCTTAACAGCCCTAATGGACATGCCATGCTACTGCATATTTGTTGTGTGATCATGTAATGAAGCTAACTTCAAGACATAAGTACAAGGGTTCAGGTACTCAAGTGTTTGAACACAGTAAAGAAAACATAAGACTAAAGATTTGTAAGATAAAGGACAGATAGAATTACTCCAAGAACTGCAAGTCTACCTCTTCTGACCTTGGTGTCACTGAAACAGCAAGCCACCTTCTGCTACAAGGTGCAATGTGGTATATAATGTCGAATGCCGTCTACTTTAAAGTGACAGAATAATTATGTGCTGCCCTTTTGGCAGGTAGCAATACAACTGCAGCCCAACAAGATGGTGCTTGGGAGCTTGGCATTCTGCTTGAGCATACTAAACTCAAAAGGCAGGAAAGACCAGGACAGTATCAATGAAGCCACCCATGGTTCATAGGTGCACTCCTTCCATTTTGTTAATGTTTTATCATCTTTCCAAGGACAGAACTATAAAAACCATGAGATGACATCACGGAGGACCTCATCAAGATCAAAAATGAACATGAGAAGTGTTTAATTAAACTCAGTCCAGGTAATTAAAACTACAGTCCTATTAACATGAAAAAATGTTGTTCTTGTCTTGGTGGTGTTTGTTTGTTGGCATGTTACTAGTTTGGCCCACAAAACTAGATGGGGTGGTTGCACCTTCCCAATCCTGAGCTATTACTTTAACCTCAAGTGATGGAACTTAAGGTGCAACCCCAAAAAGGGTTGTAACCACTCTCATCCCTGTCTTTGGGTGATGAGAAGGGGTGAGCCATTCTGACATTTTCTTCTCCTTTAACATAGCATGGTATAAAGATGTTCAAAAGTTCAGAGAGACGAGACAAAGATGTTCAAAAAGGTTCAGAGAGACACTGTGTTAACAGCATGGGGGCATTGCATTACAGCGTGCCATTATCAAAGTGCTGCTCCATTTGGGAGTAGATATCAGAAGAGACAGTCTGTTTACATTAAACACTTCTGTTTAAATGCAGGAAAACTGTAGTGAAACATTTCAATTCTTATGAGGATCAGCATTAAAAATGACTACAGGGCAAGCAAGGATAGGTTTTATTCCTTCAAAATAAATCAATCACGTTTGTATGTATCTAGCGTTTGACTCGACCAACAAGGGGAATGGTGTACTGGGCAAGTAACCTTCCTGCAGATAGTTAAGGGAAGAGGAGGATTTATTGAGGCTATAGACTTGGCACACAGTAGGTTAAAGAAATGGAGCAGAAGGAGGGGTAATTCTACTATCTCACATTACATTTAGGGTTTTTAAGACAAAACTAAGATTTGGGGCCCAGAGATGATGGAACACCGTCCCTACAGACGGTGAAACCAAGAGAAACTTTGCATGTGGCTTGTTTTACTTCAGGTCATGGGCACATGAATGGATCTTGGAGCTGGAAAGGACCTGACAAGGTCATCCAGTCCAACCCCCTGATCAGAGAGTCATCCCTGACTAATCCATCCCAGCCAAGAGTCTGTCTAACCTACTCTTGAAAATGTCCAAGGATGGAGCTTGCACAATTTTTCTACATTGCCTGTTGCAGTGATTGACCACCCTCCTAGCCAGAAAGTTCCTTTTAATTTCCATCCTAAATTTCCCCTGCTGCAGCTTGAGGCTATTGCTCCTAGTCCTGTCCCCTACAGCCACAGATAAAAGCCCATCTTCGTCCGCTTGATAATTGCCCTTCAGGTATCTGAAGACTGTTATCAAATCCCCACCCCCCACTCTTCTCTTTTCCAGGCTAAACAATCCTGGTTCTTTCAGCCTTTCCTCATAAGTCTTGCCTCCCAGGCCCCTAATCATTTTTGTTGCTCTGCACTGGGCTCTTTCCAGTTCGTTCACATCCATGTTGAAGTGTTGAGCCAAAAACTGGACACAGTACTCCAGGCGAGGCCTCGCCAGTGCTGAACGGATTGCAAGAATTACTGCTGGATGGTCTCACGCTAGAGCAACCAAAAGTTTAAGTGAACCCTGTTCAGGTACCTCTGACCTTTGTAAAATCAGCCACAGGGACTCATTAGGCCTCAGGAGAAAAAACACGACAAAGGAGCAGTTTATTGGACTGAATTGTGCCTGGGGTAGGGTTAGAATGAAGTTCAAGTCTTTCCAAAAGGCTCAAACCACCTTTCCTGATAGGGAACCTGAGCCAAGTAGCCTCCAAGCTACAGGAAGAGCCATGTGAGCCTGCATTTCCTCTGTAACTTCAGCATTCACTTCTCTATGAACACTCCCCTCCACCTCCCTTCGCACACTTTCACATGCGTGGCTTCCTCATTTGTGTGTAGTTGCCCTAGCACTCCAGTTTCTGCATGTGGCTTAGCTTCTCTATCCACTTGTCCACAGCCTTAGCAAGCAGCATAACACCGCAGATAAGGAGACAAGACTACATTTTCCTACAATGAGACCTGTAATGCAACCAGAGCCTTCTACCACCAGTATTTTCACGGCCCATTTGCCCCTCAACCCAGAGTCTCTTAAATGATGTCTCCCCACTCAACAGCCACCCCAGCTGGTAGGGTCAAAGGACAGGGGAAAAAAAAAAAACCTGCCAATAACACAGGAACATCTCAATGTCTAACACCCCCAGAGAGCTGTGTTTTTCTAGACAGCTTCACATGAGTCCAAGTTTTCCTCAGCAGAGCCAAGTGCTCTTGGAAGAACATACTGCTTTCTGCTCGATGGTACAGGACAAATTTTTCAGAGCCTGCCAGGACCATTGAAACTTTATCAGGAAAAAGAAGACCTAAACATGCCTTTTATGACTTCTATACTAAAAGCAAAAGGGGTTTCCTGTGAATTTTGATAGATGCCAAATTACACGAGTAATTAAAGGAGATCAGTGAGGCCCGGTTGAATTGGACCGGTTATGTTCTGTCCGCTGCAACGTGGAAAGCTTCTCACGTGGAACTTCTCCGTTGTGGCTATACCTGTCATAGCAGTTGAAGTCATCTAACCAACAACCCTTCTTCACCAACTCAATGGAGCCCGAATTGTTCCTCCAGGAAGCGTAGCAATGAAGGCGCTTGTCCTTTTCCCCTTCACAGCGCTCCACGCCACTCTGATTAGTCTTCTCCAGCTCCCAGTTGGCATTGTAGTAGATGCACTCTCTGGTTTCTGCCTCTCCATGTCCTGGCCCTGGAACGAGATTCAAATCCAAAATGCGATCAACACCAAACCAACCATAAATACCCGAGCAGACATTTCTAGGTGGTTGCTGTGGAACTCCAGTTAATGGCGAGTTATTTGGGGTACGTGTTTATCGGCTCTCAAATGATACACCTTGCCGTAATGCCTGAGCAGCTCTTCTAATGAAATGTACCTTCGACCCTTTCTGGAGGCAAGGCAACATTATTCTCATTGCTTCGTGGGGACCTGAAGCACAGAGATCCAAAGCCACCCTGGAAGCTGGTACGCCAACAACTAAACAGAGATCTCATGTCACAGTTCAGTGCCTTAACCACAAGCCTGCCCCAAGGGGAAACGTGAGGGTCCACTGACCAACGGGGCCCTGCTGAGCTCCATGAGGAAGCCCTAGCTTTGACAGAGAAACATAGAAGACATGACTTACGATGCGTGAGATTTAAGCCACAGTGTAATAAATGAATATGCATTTCCACACGCTCAACATGTTGAGGGCTAATATGGTGCTCATAGCTTCTTGCTGGGTCTTTGCACGGGAGTGAACCTCACCCAAGGAGATTCTCCCCCACCCCTTATTAACTTGACTAATGGCAATAATAAGACCTGCATGGTAATCATGGCGAGATAAATAAGCTGCCAGGAACCACTGCAACCTGCTGCTTGCATCAAAGTAGCAGAGATTCAACATGAAGAGTTTCTGGCAAAAATAGCTGCACTGCCCCAAAACACCCTTACAAGGGAACCGGTTGGGGGGGGGGAAGAAGTTGAACATTAGATGGTGCATACCTCCAAGTGCTCAGAAATCTGACTCTTACTATAGAAGTATCCTGTACCGGCACATTTAAAGGACCAGCATCACAAAGGGGAAGCAGAAGTTAAATGCCAGAATACAGATCAAGTCTATACAGAAACCCCGGAAATGCTACCACTGAGCCACAAATAGCAGGTCACTTCTAAACTGCAGCTGAGATGAACTATAAATACAACAAGGGAACCAAAAATGACAGTTCAGGTTTTCAAAACAGCGTTTTTCTCTTAAGCTGCAGTCAGGCCATCTTGGGTCATCTTAACTAAAATCAGGTCAAGCCTGGTTGTTATTTTGATGGGCTCCTTCCCAGAAAAATCTAAGTATCGCAGTAAGAGGCACTGCCGTTTCAGGAATACACACAGAATTGAAACCCCTACTCAGCAGAAAGGAGCATTTTGTTACTAGAACTGCCAACTTGTTGGCACAATGTAAAACTGAGCTTCTGGTGACTGAACACGCTGCTGTATGTTCTGCCTACTTTAAAACTAGCCTAAACGCTAAAGATGCTATTGGGGTTAAGGCACTTTGCCCACATTGCCATAGTACATGTGCATTTCAGAATGCATGTATCTGAATTTATGGTGCCAACTCCCTAGTGAGATAAAGTATTATTATTCCTATTTTGCAGATGATGAACTGAGACACAGAGAAACTAAAAGACTTGCCCTTGGTCAAAAAAGAAGTCTGTGACTGCAGGGACCTGAAGCCAGGTTTCCCCAGTCCCACTGAGCATCCTCATCCCACTGGGCCAGTCTTTTTCCTTCTTCTTCACTTTCCTCTCCTAGCCATTGCAGGGCAGTTGGATTCACCTTCATTTCAATGGGCGGGTGTACTTTTGTTGAGCATCTGGAGGTGGGTCAGCATTCAAGATGCTATCAAAGCACTGTCTATGCCTCTAACTGACCCCATGCTGTACAAGGTTTAACTGCAAGGACGCAACAGGGCAAACCACATTTTCAGAAAGGTGCCAAATGCTTGTCCTGGTCTGCGTTCTTACTTGACACTTGTTGCCTGCTATGGGCAGGTTTCCTGATACATCAGCCCAGAAAGATCTCTACATTTTAAGAGGAATTCAAGTCTCTAGCATCCCTTGCTCAGGAAGGATGCTTAACCTGTATCGCAGGAGACGATTTAAAGGGAGAGGCAGGGGGAAGAGAAAAAAGTGCCGGAAAGCCCAGCCTTGAAACTGAAAATTATATTCAAAACACATCCAGGAGCTGCATTTTAATACCACCCGCAGGTTTTATCAGCACTTGCAAATCTCCATCCAAGTTGTCCTCTGACAAGTTGCTTACTATAATAAAACAACCCACAAATAACCCCAGACACTGGAGCCGTGTCAGTATTGCTGCTCCTCATTAATGCTCTGCTGTTGGCCTGTTGATACTTGCATGATAATTTGTTATAGCAAATTAGGTATTTCTGTTAAATGCTTAGTTAAAAACAATCAGCAGGTATTGTCTTGTGTTCAGAGAATGACAGAGATGCCCTTTTTCCCCAGCAGTAAATCAGCATCTTAGCCTTACTGTAATGCACAGTACGGCTTGCATTATCTGCTGTCTTAGGCAGCAGATAACAGTATTCAACACCCCCTTCTGGTCTTCTCCAGAAAGTAGGAATTCTCTGAAAAAACTTGTAATTCTCCAAATCAAAGGAATCAACAATCCTGCACCATCTTATTCAGCCCAGAAGCAAAACAGGATATACCTTAACTTTACAGTAAATTTTCACAGCAGTGGGGACCAGCAGTGGGGTCCCACACTGTCCCAAATGCCACTCCAATCCCCTTCCCCGAGTCTGATCTGCCACTCTGGTTTCTGCTCCCTGACAGTCCTACTCCACTGCTTTCCCCTTCCTGCCCTATCTGCTCCCTCCCACGTGCCAGACACAGAAGCTGCCCACGTCACTTGTGGTACCTGTGCCTTGGGTTGGCCACCCCTGCTGTAAAGCAAATGAGTTTTCTTCTTTCCCAGACAAAATCTCCTAGAAATCAGCTTGGCCGAGGGCAGTTAGGGCCAACGCTTTTGGCAGGCACGCTGCAAAACAGTCACACACACCCCCATGTGCCACTCCAATCCCTTTCCTTTGCCCAATATGCCACTCTGCTTTCTGCTCTCTTTCCTGTGCTCCCTACCTGAACTGCTGCTCTGCTATCTGCTACTGGGATGCCTCTCTCCTCATCTGCCACGTGCCTCACACAGAAACTGCCCATGCCACTTGTGACACCTTTAACAGGACAGCCACCCACAGCCTAGACAGCCATGGGCAAGGGCAGAAACCCCAAATTCTAATTGTAGCTCAGACAACTCCTCCCATAGCGCTGGGCAACATGATTAGACCCGGGAGTCGTAACAGAACTCATCAGGGCGCCGCGAGACTTAATGCTCATGCAATGCTTTCCAGAGAACAGATTAAAAGTGCTGAAGTAGCCATTATAACCATATTAGATCTGGGACCAGAAAGCAGCAGACACTTGAGCAGAAGACATCATGCGCTCTGTCCAGGGAGTCCCACTTCTCAGACACGTGTCTTTTCTGAAGCAAGTTTAAAATTCAAAACGTGACTTTGCCTTCAAAAAGCAAATTTAAGCCTGCCAAATGGCAAAACGGGCCTCAAAGCCTCTGCCGCCTTACCTGCACCACAGGTTTCAGCAGATTGGAAAAAAAAGACAGTTTTTTGTTTTCCCCAAACAGCCTTGAAGAGCAGCTGTCTTACAAAGACACTTCAAAAAGTTGCACTCATAGCAACAAGCTCTTGGATCAGCTCAACAGGCATTCAGTTCTGCCGACTTTCTCCATCTGCAAGGAGCCCTTTTCTTTGTCCCCAAGACAGTCTCAGCAGGAAGGCGCACAGGTCTGGGGATCGCATGGGTGTGCCTGGGTTTGCAGCACATCAAGGGAAGCTCACACATTATTCTGAGAAGTTGCTGGAGCTGTTTGCAACAAAACACAGGGAGGTTTGCATTTCCCTTATTAAAATAACTGTTTAGTCAGAGTCGGGGGAGCATACTTAAAAAGACCGACTGTGTCCCTTGAAGGTAGAGAGCAACCTAGACCCCATTCCCAGTTCTGGCACGTGCATCCTGAAAGACAAGGAGCAAGTCATTTTGCCTCTCCCCATCTCACCTTCTCCCTTTGTGGAACAAGGATAAATATTTGCCTCCTCCATGGATGCCACAAGACTTCAGTGTCTTTATAGCACCTGACAAAGTAAGCTGCTGCTTAAGAAAGTTTAAGAAACTGTATGAACCCCTGAGTTAGCCTACGAGGTGCAAATCTACCCTGCCTTCTGCCTGACTTCAGACTAATACAGCTAGTTATCGCTCCTGGACTTCATGTTTGGCGGGAACTTTGAAACCGCAGCAGTGAAAGCTGCTAAAAGAGCGTGGTATTCCAGAAATACTCAACTCAGGAAGGACAAGGGAAAAGTCCTGCACTTAGGACAGAGCAATCCCATGCACCAGTACAGGCTGGGGGCTGACGGGCTAAACTGCAGCTCTGCAGAAAAGGACCTGGGGGTGACTGTAGACAATAAGCTCAATATGAGCCAGCAGTGTGGCCTTGTTGCCAAGAAGGCCAACAGCATCCGGGGCTGCATTGGTAGGAGTGCTGCCAACAGATGCAGGGCAGTGATTCTTCCCTCTGTTCAGCACTGGGGAGGCCACATCTGGAGAACTGTGTTCACTTTTGAGCTCCCACTACAGAAAGGATGCGGACAAATTGGAGAGAGTCCAGAGGAGCTGGAGGACATGACTGATGGTTCAGGAGCTAGAGGACATGACTGATGAGGAGAGGCTGAGGGAGCTGGGCTTATTTAGTCTGGAGAAGAGAAGACAGAGGGGATTCAACAGCAGCCTTCAAATACCTGAAGGGTTGCTCCAAAGAGGACGGCGCTGGACTGTTCTCAGTGGTGACAGGTGACACAACAAGGAGCAACAGGCTCAAGTTGCAGCAAGGGAAGTTTAGTTTAAATATTAGGCAAAAACTGTCTCGCTAGGAGGGCAGTAAAACACTGGAACAGGTTACCCAGACAGGTGGTGCAATCTCCATCCTTGGAGGTTTTTAAGACCTGGCTCGACAAAGCCTTGGCTGGGATGATCTAGTTGGGGCTGATCCTGCTTTGAGCAGGGGTTGGACCTCCTGAGGTTCCTACCAACCCAAATCTATGATCCTATCACTTTGCTTTC